TTTTTTTTTTTTTTTTTTTTTTTTTTTTACTTTTTTAGCTCATGGCTATAAGAGGTGCTATTGGTTTTTTGCTTGCTCGCGTTTCACATTCTTCTTACAGTAACCAATTTGTTTAAGGTGTCGGTTTTCTTTACCCCTTTATCTCCAGAAGCGTCACTGATGATAACGAGGCCTGTATCATGTGTTAAGAGCATCGGGAATTGATTCGTTTCAGTAGCGGTTACGTGCGAAAGCTTGCAAATAAGATGTCAAGATGGCCCAAAAAGAACATTAAACATTTTCTTAATTTTTCAAGGCTACTCGAAAGAGGAAAGATGTAAAACTTTACATATCAAAATACTAACACATACTAATACTAACATACTAATACACACTAATCAAATACATTATTAATACAATGCAACATTTATTTCAAGGCATAGCTCAAGGGGTTCTTTCATAGCATGACAATTTCTATCTTTTTCTTCTTTCTTTTACCAAAAAAAAAAAAATGTCAAGAGGTTATCCTGCTAGCCAAGTGACTTCAGATCTACAAACCTTGTGTTCAGTGAGATGGAAATACGTGACTAATTTTGTCGACCTATATGTATGTCAATTGAAGGAATCACCTGTGACACAAGTGACTGGCCGTCTCCAAGCAACGGACAGATCTCGACCCCTTGTCGTGGTAAATCGCAGGTTCCTCATGGGACTCAGTGCGTGGTCACGTGCAATCGTGGCTTTGAAATAGTCGGAAACACAAGCTCTCTTTGTGACGTTAATGGCAGCTGGAGCCCTAAAGCAACCGCAAATTGTCGAGGTCAGGGATTTATTTATGTGGTTAGGATGTGTTTTGTAGTGAATAAATAAAGCAAAAAGAGCATGATGATGGAATCTCGCGATATTTAAATACGGATCACAATAGTTTTAACTCCTATTCTGCTGATTTTTTCTAATTTCAGTACGTGCATGTCCATCCCTAAAGGCACCAGACAATGGACAAATCACTCCTGAGATTTGTAAAATAAAACCCCTGCATGGTCAAAATTGCTTCTATGAATGTAGCTCAGGCTACGCTCGAGTTGGTTCTTGCTGGAATATTTGTGACAACGGGCAATGGAGACAGGGTATCTTCCACTGTAAAGGTGAGTTTTACAAAGTTATCATATGGCCACGAAAGGCATACTCTATACACTTACTCAGCCACCCACATACTTGGGCCCAGAGAATTACAACAGAAATGCAACGTGCTCAATTTTCACAAAATTTAAAAGATTCCTGTCCGAACAAACTCCTCGTGCGAGGGATTTTCAGAGTTTTAACAAGACGATGTACTCTGTGATGTTAAAAAATTCAGTGGCTGTTCATTCATCCCACCCACACCAAGATTTTGACATTCCATAGCAAGTGCATTTTGACACGCAGGTCAAGCAACATTTCGTCATTTTTGACAGTATTCTACGGCTTTGTCTAAATTTCTTTAAAACCATTGCAAAACCAGTATAGTATTAGTTTTGAATAATTTCTCATTAATTTACTTTATTCTCTCCCAATCTGAGAAAAAAGGGAATTCCGAGATGGCGGACTTGATGACATCATGTCATATTTTGTGAAGCAGACTCGCCAAAAACACAAGTGCCATCTTTTAGAATATGCCGAGGGCTATAGTTTACATAGGTCAAATAGTTTACATAAGCCTTCTTAGAACGAAAACCCAGGAGAGGGGTTCTATCTCTGTCACCTCCCCTGCCCCGCTTGTAACTCGGGGCTCAACTCGCTCCAGTTTCCGTGGGATAACAAATCTGGTAATTGCAAAAATAATAATATTTTCACGTTTTGGGAAAGTTGTGTGCGATGGCTTCACATAATTTGCTATTAATCTACAAGTCGTAGACTACCAGTAATCCTTTCGTAGGGTAATTACTGGAACTAAATATCACAAAACCCCAGCTCGGTATTTTTAGGGTCTTTGATGGCGCCTTCCTCAAAAAGGGACAGATAACTGGAAATGATCCTCCAATTAACTTTGAAATTCATATAGGCACTGTACATCTATATTGAGTAGTCTCTAGATGAGCGAACGGTAGTATGAACAGACTGAATGCTGGAGACTAGTTAACCGAGCACCAGAGCATTAGACCTTTTCCGACTGGGCGGTTTGTTGCCCCATTCCAGATCATGTGATGATACTCTTGAGACTTCTTCCTTTCATATTTTCAAATAGCCGCGTGTATATTATTATATAATTTTTAGATGGTTAGAAGAACAATTTTCTAGAGGATACCACGTAGTCTGTAATGGGAAAACAAGCCGCCGAAGCGAAAAAGGTCTATTCAGCGACCAACGGAGCAAATGGGTGACAGAGTACATGTACTGAATAACTGACTAATAGATTGACTGGGTAACCGAGTTATTGCGTGAATGGGTGACGAAATAACTAACTCATTAACTTTGTTGCTCACTAAAGTCGCCAACTTGCTAACTTACGTATTTTTTTTTTCTTTCTCCTTAAGACGTGGAAGCACCTTCATTTGGTGAAACCTGTCCAGCCTCAAGAAGTGCTGTTGCAGAGAAAGGGAAAACCTCAGCGGTGGTGACCTGGGCGCCAGTTAAAGTCACCGACAATCATCAAGCAAATTTAACTGTGTTCCCTGCAGTGACACCCCCACATATATTTTCTGAAGGAGATCATACCGTGATCTACACTGCTAAAGATCCATCGGGAAACATAAAACAATGCTCCTTCAAAATTACAGTTCAAGGTAAGAAGGACAATTTATTTCTGGGGTACAATAGGCCCTTTGCAGCTAGGGTCACGTGACCAAATTTTTCCTAAAAAAAANAACTTGGCCATTTTGATATTTTCGACATGCTTTTTCCATTTCTGGCATTAGTTAAGTTATAGCCCATAATTTTATGAAAAGTAGGTCACGTGATGGCTTAGCTGCAAAGGGCCTATTATACACGCAGGATCTTTTAAAACTCAACTTAAAGGTTCTTACTAAAAACTAATTATTTGAGCTGATTCAAACTGATTCAAACGTGTTTCAGTTTTGAGTGTGGGTGATCTAAAGCCTGAACTACACAAAGCGCAAGCAGTTATGAAAGAAAAATGAACACTTCAGTTAAATTCTAATCTTGGGTCACCATTGTCCGTATTTGAATGGTTTAGAAAGCCCCCTCTTAGCGTTGCCCAGTTTTGATGTAGACTGTAGCGTGTGTAATTAAGGGTTTAACCACCAAAAGTGTTCATCCCGAACCTGATTCCCTAGCCAAGTGCTAATGTTTAAACGTCAACTTTCTTTATAAAAATTGATAGTTTTTAGATGCTCCGCTCTCTTTTCACCTGCAAACGGGAAGATAGAGAATTCCGCCTGTGGAAATATATATGGAAGTGTCTGCCGCTTCGCGTGTTCCAAGGGCTATGATTTGAAGGGATCTGCCGAGAGAAAGTGTGCCAAGAAAGCAGGCACAAATGTAGTATATTGGACAGGAAATGCAACTTCCTGTGAGGGTTAGTAGCTATTATAATTTATTTTTATTGCAGAAACGTGCCTGCTAGGCAAATGTAAACATATTTTCCATTATCGTGAAAATCCTTCATAAAATAAATAATTCATAATCGCACTCTGATTTGGCGTAACTGGGTCGAAATATGTAAACACATTTTGATAGGGAAGTATTTTTGGAAAACTCGTGGCATGTGACAATTATCGAACTGGCACTTTCAACTGGTGCCTGTATTATGAACCTCCTATGGAACTTTTCATTGAGCAAGGTCCAACCTATTGGATTATTATTACATTAGATCAAAACAGTCTATGAGCAAAACTCGTGAGTACAAAAGGTGAATGAAATTATGTCAGGAGCTCCTGACTATCGGTTACTGATTATGTACATAATTTTGTCTTTGGTCTCTATGCGATAAGTTCGGTTTATGCAGTAGTTGTTTGCTAAAGTCCCAAAAACACATTTGGATAAGAATCCGTCACAAATGAAATGAGCATGTCATTCAGTGGACAAAACGCCTTGGAGCTTGATTCAGTAGATGGGGCAAACCACCTTGCCGTGTTCAAAAACTAGCATGTTTTTACATAAAATCTTATCAGTTCCGCCATCTTGGAGTGAGCTTTCGCTCGGGGGCGTATTTCCAGCAGTGTCCACCCCAGCCCTTCCAGGCAATAGTTGGGTATTTGTTCACGTCTTCATTCTGGAGGTGGACCATTTGAAATTTTATTATCAACCAAGAGCGGTCGTTTGCATTGAGTTATTTTGATCTCCCATAAAATACTAATCATTTACCTGAAACAATATTAAACCTTTAAAAAACTCACCAGCAAGCCTTTTCCGAAACCGAATTACTTCAACAAACAAAACTGTGAAGAAATGTCAATAACAGCAATGGCAATTAATAAATCCTGTTCAGTTTTTGTAACAATAATTACGATCTTTATTTGTTAAAGCATAAGATAAAGCATAAATTCGCAGCGATAGACGACCGAGTGAAATAAATGTTAACGAAACTTGTAGAATCGATTATCGCTCAAGATAAAGCGAAGAAATGCATTTAGAGGCAGAAAAACATCCAAAATTTTAAAGACTTGAAGTGTTGAAGAAATGTAGTGCTAAAGTTATCCAAAGCGTATTTGAACATTATAACCGCCGATGACTTTGCAGTCGTTTAATCGGCGGAGTTATTGAGCGAGTGATTTCTAGTAACCACTACAAACTCGTATTCACGAGCTTAAAAGTGAAAAGAAGAAGACTCGGAAATGTGTAATTTTATTTTTTATTATTCGTTTCAGTCATCCAGTGTCCCTCACTGCATACTCCAGACTATGCAATACAGTCCGGATATGGGTGCAGTGGCTTGAGCTCTAACTACGGCACTTCCTGCTTCTTCAGCTGCCTGGTAGGATATGAGACTCTAGTAGGATCACAAAAAAGAACTTGTCTGGAGACTAGACAGTGGAGTGGAACCGAGCTACAGTGTCAAGGTAATAAAGAGTATTCATCGATTGAAAAGTAAGAAAAGCGACTCCTAGTTACCTTGACATATATCCATCTTTTGGTAATTTTTCCATGATATCTTAGCTATATATCTTTAACTTCCTTCTCTACCAAGAGAAGCTGCAAGCTACGAATTTCTTTAATGCTGTCCTCTTAAAGATGGAAATCTGTCAGTGATTTTTAAAGCCTCAACCAGCAGCAAAGTATGACTGTAATTTGTCCGGTAATTTACAAACCAGAGGTAGAAAAACACCAAAGCGATACCAATATAAAACAAACAAACAAACAAACAAGCACAGAGCAACCTTAAGATTTACGAACCAGCGAACATGCGCCTTCTTTGACATACCACGCTTTGTCTCGTAACAATTGCAATGGGCTGAAAAAAGGGGTTTTTTGTTCTTTGACTTGTAGCTATCACCTGTTCCCCTTTGACAATAAAATCGGAAGGACTGGACATTAGCCCTCCGTTCTGCACCAATGCAAGTGCTGTCATTTATTACGCATCAGAGTGCTGGTTCACATGCAAAAACGGTTATCAACACCATGGACCTGGGGTGAAGACTTGTAATCAGCAGAAGACATGGGCGCCATTAGGAAATCCATGGTGCAATGGTAAGTTGATCAATTTGCGATATGGCAACACCTATTTTCAATAGGCCTTAAAAATGCTCTTCATGTTTTCCATGCGAATCCGTAGAATTTTAACTTACGAATCGTTGCATTAAAGGAATATAAGTGCCCAAACTGAATTTTAAAAAAAGTCCTGACTGCGAAAACGACCTTGGAAGTTGTTTTCCCAATAATTTTAAAACAAGTGAAAATTAGTTTATTGGACGTGAATGAACATAACATTTTGGTGTTTTTACTTTGACAAAATGGAAGCAACTATATCTTGTTCTTGTTTTTTTGTTTTTGTTTTTGTTTTTGTTTTTTCCTGCCGTTGTTGATGATTAGGATTATAATGATGATGGTGATGATGACGATGATGCTACGACCTTTATGTAATAGTTCTTTATGATGCTGATTGGGCTTTGTCACTCTCGTTATTATCACATTTATATTTAACAGTTTTTAATCGCCAAGCTGCCACTGCGTGTGTATGACATCTTTATATGTATTTTCTTATTGTCTTTGCTAAGCGATATCTCTTTATCATTTAGATGTCTCAGCACCAGTTATCTCAAACTGTCCGTCAAATATTGTAGCCACCGCTGACAGGGGTTCCACGTCCACGCTAGTCACGTGGTCTCATCCTTCAGCTACAGACAACTCTGGCTTCATCCCCAACATAACACATTATGGGAAACAACCAGGGGACTTATTTCATGCTGGGGAACACAGCATCCGGTACTTGGCTTCAGACAAAGCAGGAAACGTGGCCGAATGCAAATTTAAAGTCTTCGTGTTAGGTAATTTGCGCATGCCCCATGTAGATATAGCAACTGATTTCATCTTGGATAATCTTTGGGTGCTTTCCATTCGAACAAAATATTCCGGTTGGAATGTCCGGAAATTTTTAGTGTCCGGTTAAGGTTGTATTATGATACCCTAAAATAGACCAAAAAGCTTGTTGAAATATGGTAAGAAAGATCAATTTCGTGTGATTGCACTCGGGAAGACAAAATAATTTTTGAAGACTTTACTTAAAATGGGTTGCTCTCTTTTGAGGTTGTGATTTATAGTATTAATGCCAACAATTCCTGCTCTTTTACAAAACAAGATTGACTTTCAAACAAGCACATCTTAAAAGTTTTTGTTTCGTTGTTCCGTTCCGTGTAATCAACCAAAGTTCTGACACTTAACTCATGTTTTCTGTGCTTTTACCAGTCTTTATCTGAATAACCTTATTTTGCACCAGACCCACTGGACAAATTATCCAGTGTTACATGACAGATGTTAAAATGTTGTGATCTTTTAGGCTGATTGCGTCACGACATATTATTAGTCTTTGAATACCCCAAGTCACAGGAAATTCTCTTAAATGCTGTCCAAAGTGGAGATGTTGGCGTGAAGTCAGCTGGTACAAGTACACGATTGAGAAAAATCAGGAGCCATAATCGGGGACGGAGAACGTAAGTCTCGGGATTCGCGCGCACCCATGATATGGGACAATTTTTCTATTTTTAGAACAAATTGCGCCATCCTGACGTCATATATCCGCGCGGATTCA